GATCGGCTGTCATCCCGGCAATGAGAGTTCGCGACTTTTATCAGAGTACACCAACTACTTCTTGCCCTGTCGGGCGGCAAAGAAACGCGAGCGCACGTAATATTCCTGGTTAGACGGCGAGAACACTCGCAAAAGCTGACGCTTCAGCTCCTTCCAGGAGGGGAACATCGCTTCAACCGAAGTACCGCACGTTAGTGTCTATTCTCGCGCTCGGCCTCCGAGCTTGAGATAGCTTGCGCATCGCGCTGTTGCTCGTTCTGGAACATGGCGGAAACCATAGCCATCTCGGCCTCTCTCACCCAGGGCATGAGATTCTCTCCATCCTTACTCTCTCGAAGCTCTTAACGCTCACCATGAGCGGCCTGGGTCGGGGGAAGGAGTCATCCATCGTCAGCGGAGGCGTAATGGACGCCGTCGAAGCTGACAGCTTCTGCTGTAGGTGCTCTAGCAGAGCACTTTAATAGCTCGAAAACGCATCTAGGCGCGCGCATATCGCTTTGACCCCCTTGCGAAACAAGGTGCTCCATGTCCTCGGGACCCAGCAGGGGACATCAGCTTATTAAGTCCGTCCTGCATGCCCTGGGGCAAATTGGAGAATTGCTCCATCCTCACAAAGGATCAGTCGTAACGATTCAGGCGTAGATTGACTACGAGTGCTACAAAGTACATATGGGCTGCCGTAGTTCTTTGCTTACAGGAAGCTAAGCTAGGGTCACCGTTCTTATATTCGGATCGCAAACCGCTACCTCCAAGGTACTCAAAAACCTTTACCAAGGTAAAGATGCTCTTCTGTCCAGAGTTAAAACTTTATTTAATTGTTTTATTTGCGACAGAGCCGTCTATATCCAAAACCCTAGCTTTCCGAATTAATACAATAATACTTAATTAATATAGTAAAACCTAATTGACACGCATTACTACTGGCAATCCTGCCACGTAGTGGCTTCTTGATACGGTGTAGTCACACTATTGTGTGTTTATACCAACCTGTGTAATCCGCACCTATGAACGGTCACAACATCTTGTGCGACCCGCCCTTTCATACAGGGGTACGTGTAACCCCGTTACAGGTAGCCACCGCACATATAAAAGGCTGCTCTCACATTTTATAGAACTATGTGGCTGGGTGCAGCTGGGCTACCGTAGCTCTTTTGCTAAGAGGAAGCTAAGCTAAGGTCGGTGACCTTCGTTCTATACATAGAATTAGTGCGAGTGTGGCGGATCGCAATTCACTTACTCCATGAGTACCCACAACCTTAACCAAAGGCAAATAAACTCTTCCGTTTAAAGCGTTTACTGTATGTAATTATTTTGTTCGCGGCAAATTTACCTTTATCTTAATCTACAGATTCTCCTATCTATATAGTAAAACCGCCTTTGACTGCATAACTAGTGGCAGTCTAGCAACATCCTGACTTCTTGTTAAGGTGTAGCCACGCCATTGTGTGATTACACCGTCTTGTTCAACCACACCCTTGTAGGGTCACACCTTCTGAATTGACTCACATAATCATACCAGGATACGTGTAGCCTCGCTAAATTTGGACCATGAGAAGATGGCGCCTAAAACAATCACTCCAAATTTCTTACGGCCAATCTTTTCAGGGGCAGTACCCTCGGGATCTTTATTCAACTTACGTATGATGGGTAGCCTAGCGAGAATTGGTTGATAAGTAAAATTGGTCTGCCGGGCATCCAGGCAGAAAGCAAACGTAATTTGCTGCTTTGCGTTCTGCTGCAATCGTGTAGCCTTTGTCTTTCTCAAGATATGGATATGTCACGACTATTTTGCTGCGATCAAGCAGCAACGTAGATATCTATTTTGCGGGCTTTTCTTTGTATATAAATTCAACATGGTACTTGAATAGCTCAATCAGATGATGGATGGAAGGGATAGTCCTGTCATGAATCTCGTGTTGCATCGCATTAAAAAGGAAAGTTGATTTACGGAGCTTTCGCCATGTACTAATTCTCTGATCTTAGCGTCATGTCATACGACGTGGCTTTTAATTCATTAAATTTCTTGTGTGTAAGTTACAGTGAGGCGACATTGTTTCCTTAATGCAACAGCGGCTTTATAGCACGAAGTTGTCACCTGTGATGTCGGTCTTGTTTGCCGAGCGTGTATGTCCAGTATCCACGCGCCCTCTAAGGCTAGAATAACCCATATAAGCTCGTCAACTCTCTGCGATCCCTTTAGTGTGGCCAGATGAAGAAACGATAATGTACCGATGTACTGCAATTTCTTGTTTGTAGCACGCTGGCTGAGTTAGTCGAAAATTCAAATGGTCTATCAAAAGGGGTAAGCACTGTAATCTTGTGTACTCACACCAAGCACATCTAGTAATAATTGCAGTGTTTGCAAGCATCTTTGTTTCGGGGAAATTTAATATCCACCTGGCACGAGTAGCTTATACTGCTCCACGTATATACAGAATCTTTAATTCTCATAATATTTCAAAACTTAGAGTGATATATCTGGTTGCTCAGATCCGGCTGATATACACGAGGTAACGTGACAAAATGTGCAAGAATCTAAGCTTTTAGGGCATTTTTAAACGCGAACGTTATTATTTGCCTCGTAATTGATGATGCCATACGTGTGCCGTAAGAATGGCCATCCTGAAGAACATGTGGATTTTATATAGCTGTGAAGTGGAATGAGAATACACTTTATGGATAGGTTTTGTATATGTAAGGGTATTGGGAGTAAGATCATGGTTGTGTACTCTGTCACACAGTACTAATCAGCTTTACGGTGATCTTTAGCATCATAGGTTGTGACACAATAGTTTAACAGTATTCCTTGATTCCAAACTTTAACAGTGTCTCGGTTGGCTTGAGTTTTCTCTATCAAATCGAGGTATTGTCGGTTTTAATAGCTTTTGGTGGCTTGAGGTGTAAAATTGCCATAGATGATAGCCAGAACGTCATCTTCTCTGCACCACATATATGATAGTTGATGCTGACTTTGTTGATCGCGACAAAATACAAGCATTTTGCATCGGATCTAGTAGTATTCATAACTCAAATCCAGCGTGTTTAGTAGCTAGAACGCCTTATCAAAAGATCGACTCGATGGCTCAACCTTCAGGAAAATAAAACTTGTCACAAGGGTTGCCGGAGCATCGTGCTGACAGTAACAGCAAATACAAAATTTGAAGAACAAATTTTCACATTGTGAAATCGTAGGCGTCGATCTCCTTTGCAGCTAATCTGTATCTGACAAAAGTGAATTGATATGCAGTATTTTGCAACCAATTGGATATTGATATGGTAAATGATCATACACTGTTGTTGGTCATATTCAACACATTCGACACCAAACTTACAATGACGCAGGATGATTCCCAGCTAAAACTAACACTATAGATCATTCGACTCGATGGGATGGGACTTAATGGCCGTTGTCTTCATAAGAGGAACCACAATGACCGTTTTTAATCGGTGAGCATCTCGGCTGCCCGACATAGTATAGGTTTATGGTCATCTGCTGAAAGGCCAAGACGCTCCCAGGAGCTCCTTTGCAGTATGAGCACGTGATACACAGGGTTCCGATGTGGGTTTGTTCGACAGAGCATGTCCTGTATGGTGCAAAAAAGGAGAAGATCTCAGTGTGCAATTGGCGCTTGTAGAGCGGTTGACCACATATAGTCTCCTTGAAAGACAAGGCATCACCACCCTTATGTGACACACGTCTTCTAATGTGACAATCTTAGGCCAGCCAAACGGAGGAAGCAGTCGTTGGCGGCCTTGGCGAAGAGAGTCAAGGTCGGAGGCGGTGGCGAGTCGGAGGCGGAGTCGAAGAGGCAGCGGCGGCGCTGCAATCGAGGTCTTGCTGGAAGGTTGAGTTGGGCAAAAGAGGAAAATTGAGAAGTGATTGATTGAGTTAGTTTTGTTGGCGCTAGCTAGTAGTTGTCTCGCAACCAACGATCTTGGGTGACTAGACATGCACCCAAGTATTCAGGTCCTATCCCAAAAACTATCTCTCTTACATTCTGCTATCATCTTTCTCTGTCAATGAAATCCTGCGAAGCCTCGGCGTGGCTAAGCCAGGATTTTTTCGTAGCGTCCCATAGTTGCCAAACCTGAGGATTTATATCAGATGAATAGACGTAAAAGAACTTTTGAAGTGGCAACTGCAACCACAAATAGCCAATAGACTCGTAGACATATGAAAATGTGAAAATTCAGAATTACACTGAGCCAGAATAAACTGGCCAGCTGATCTTAAAATTTGGCGTAGTGGCTGTATTGACCACTACGTCATATGACCTCCATTTCAAGAAAACACCATCTCCTAAAAAGGCTGTCTTTTTCTTGAATTTCCAATAGAGGTTGATGAGTCCTGGAATCTGTTTCAGGTTCTCAACTGGTTCCCATGTTGCGTCCTTCTTCGTTTCACCGAGCCATTAAATCTTGTACTGCATCTTCCTTTGCACTTGCGGTGGTTAATCACAGTTGTCTTTCCGTTCCATCGGCTAGCACAACCTTGTTCACCTTCTGCCGGCGATTTGGATACCGTTTCAACAGTGACGCATGGAGAATTGGATGCAACTTCAGGTTCTTCGATAAGCTCAACTCATACGAGTCACGAGATACCTTCTTCTGGATCGAAAATGGTCTAACGAACATCGGAGCTAACCTCTTTGACTGTGCGTACCGCTTATGACGGATATCCAGATTCTTTTTGTCTAGTATCACCATGTCGCCAGTTTTGAAGTCTTGGACAGATCTGTTCCTGTAGTAGTAATGCTTCATGCGCTCCTGGGCTTCACTCATACGGGTCGTGTGACAATGCGAAAGGCTTCTTGTCGGAGTTAAAACCTCGTTGCTGCTTTCTCTAACGTCTTGAACTCCGGATCTGACGCTACATCGTCGGGCATGTATGGAATATAGCCAAGATCCGCTTCAAACGGTGGCATTCCGATTGTCGAATGCACACGTCGAATGTAGGCAAGCTCTGCCATATAAATAAAATTCATCCCAATTATTCCGGGCTAGATTAACGACTCCTCAAAGATAATCTTCGATAAAACGGTTTGTACGTTCCGTTTGTCCATCCGTTTGTGGTCTAAACGCCGATGACAGGGTATGCTGCGTTCCCATAGCAGATACAACAGTCTACCAAAACTTGGACGTAAATTTGGAGTCACAATCGTCTTCGAAAGATCATGATCTTTCATATAGTTCTTCATGAAAACATTCGCAGTATATTCTGCGCTGTCTGTCGTCTGCGTTGCAATGAACTTTACACGCTTGGTCAATCGAAACACGATGACCATGATGGCGTTACAACCATCCTTACTGGGAGTAAAGGACACAACAAAATCCATCGAAATGTCGATTCATCTACCTCTTGGTACATCAAGCAATTGAAGTAATCCCGGCGGTTTAATTTGTCTCGCCTAGTTGCGCTGACACATTTCACACGTGTTGCAATAGCGCTGGATATACTTCATTATCCTCGGCCAATAGTACTCTTTTCGTACGGCGACGAAAGTCTTAAAAGACCCTGGGTGGCCTGCCGTTACTGCATCGTGGTTCTTGCAGATGACGAGGTTCCTCAGATCTTCGTCATCCGGAATATACAGCCTTGGACTTCGTCTTCTACAGTCAGATAGTATAACACACCATCGTTTAGCGAGTAATGCGGTATTTTGTCTCCTAGCTTCAGCTACTTGACAATTGCTAGCAAGTCCTTGTTCCACGAGTCGATCTTCTTTGCGGACTGAGCCACGGTCATATTGTTCGCAACCATGGTTGCCACAATTTCACGAATTTGGGCCGTATCAAGAAGTTCCTTTAGGCTTTCTTGCGCAGCCTTATGCTCGAACTAAGTATTTCTTGATAGTGCGTCTGCGACTACGTTCGTCTCTCCTGGGATCACTTAAAAATAGAATAAAACTATGCGAGTTCATTGAACCAGCGCACAATGCGTCGATTTGCTGTTTTCTGCGTAAGAATCATTCTAATTCTTGTGTGATCGGTTTCAACCAGGAAAAAATTGTCCAGCAGATACACACGCCATGACTTCAGCGCATGCATGATCGCTAGCAGTTCCTGTTCGCGTACGGGGTATTTCAGCTCCGCAGTTTTCAATTTCCGGCCATTCAAGGCAATTGGATGCTCCAACTCTCCCTCCTTTTGAAATAGGACTCCTCCAATTGCGAAATTTGAGGCGTCCATTCGAGTACCATAAGGTTTGGAGAAATCAGGAAGATGGAGAACCGGTGGAGATGTGAAACGCTTCTTCAATTCGTTAAAACAGCGCACCTGGTCCTCAATGAGTTCGATTGCATCTCGAGAACGATTTTACCTTGATACATTCATGCAAAGGAACTGCAAATTGAGCAAAATCCCTGCAAAATCTAGACACGTAGACAGTTGTCCCCAGAATGCTTTCTATCTGCTTCTTGGTCTTGAAAACTGGCCATTCAGCGATAATCTTTACCTTGTCTGGGTCCATGGGAACACCGTTGCGCCCGACGAAGTCGCCTAAGTATGAAATGTTGTCCACGTAAAATTGGCACTTAGACAGCTTGATGCAGAGCTTCTACGCTTCACATCTCTTCATAAAGTCGTCCAACGCGGCGAAGTGTTCGTTGACAACTTCGCTCTCGGTGTACACGTAATTGTTTTTGAAGTAGATTCGCATCACGTCACGTAAGTCCCTGAAACCCTTCTGAAACAACCTGTTAAATGTTCCGGAGCTGCAGCTGAGTCACATGGGCGTGACGAGATTTTCAAACTAACCGACTGGAGTCGAAAAGCCGTGAAAGATGTATCCGATTCTCGTAACTTTACTTGATAGTAACCCCAGAGTAAGTCCATGCACGAGTACCAATAGCTGCCGGCCATAGCATCAAAGTTATATTTTTTGCGAGGCATAAGAATAGCCGGTAGAACTGTAGCCAAATTCAATTGGCGATAGTCGTGCACAATACGCCAACCGACTGGTTTCTTCACACAAAAAGTCGGTGCACAAAATGCTGACGTACTTGGTCGAATAATGCCAGCCTGAATCTTCTCTTTGGTCCTTTCCAGAATCGTTTTGCGTTGATCAGGACTTCGGCGCCACTGTTTGACCGAAATTGGTGTCGTGCCAGGCTTGGGCAAGATATCATGCTCAATACCATCACGTACAGGTGGTGTTTCACTGGAAAGTTCCGTGCGGCAAACAGTATATGCATACTTGCGTAACGTCTCGGACGCAAGAATATTCTTGAGAGCTTCCCAAACTTGACTCTTGAAGCGCTCCGCCTTCTCAGAGTCATGTGGGCTCACGACAAACATTGCCCCAATATCCTTATCACGGCGCAACATCCACTCGAATTGCTTGGTCGCAATAAGCTTCGTGCTTCCATGTTGTCCATTGACACCATGCTGCCGAAAATACTGAAGATTTTGCGACTCTGTGATAGACGATCGCGACGTGTCTTGCTACTGATCTGGCTGGGCAATTCCTCCACGACTTCAGCTGTGCAGCTTCTGTGCTCTCCACTTTGATGCGAGGGGATACGCGTCCCGTGTTCCGGTCGATATTAGAATTCTGTACTCGCAGCCACATCATGCTTAGTACAACATCCTTTCCTTCAGGGACGGGCATGACTTGAAAAGTTCCAGTAGTTAATGGACACCCTGGTAACTGTAGAGACATCTCTATGGTTTGACGTGAACGATGAACCACTTGATCATATCCGAGATCAATTTGCATCATGCCACCTACGGTGACATTCAAACCTTGCACCAACTCTTCAGTTACACCGTTGAGGCTACTGTCGTTGTCAATGAATATCGAGACGGACCTCTCTTGATATTTCGTCCTGGATGCTCGAGCCTCAGACTTAAGAATAGCGTAGACCGTGCCACTCATGTAGCGGCGTGCTTCTTTGCGTTTTGGCTGAGTACATTGCGGAGAAATGTGACGAACTACACCACAATTGTTGCACGTAGCTGCCTTGGTCCAATCATCGCTCTTCCCCTTCATCTTATCAGAACGGTTGAGATTCTGCTGTTTAGTTTTAGAAGGACGATGCCCCGAGTCCGATGATTGCAGTTTCGAAGGTACTCGAGGAGGTTTTTCCGAGTGGTGTGCAAACTCAAAGTTCGAAGCCATCTCAATAGCTTCTTGCAACGTTGATGGACTCCTTTCCTTGATCTTCATCGCTGTTTCTTTACGTAACCCATTTTGAAAGAAAAAAACGCTTTTCTGACTGGCTGATCGTCAATTCCGTTTGTGACAACAAGTCTTGAAACTTGAAGACATACTCATGAATAGTTTAGCGTTGTTTGAGACGAAACATTCTCTCACGAAGATCGTTCTCGAAGTCCTTTGGTCGAAAACGCGCGCGAAGTTGTTGCTTGAATAATGAGCACGTGGGATGTATAGTTGCCCTTTCGCATTCCGCTATTAACGCGCGGTGCCAATTTAACGCCAACTTGCCCAAGTTACTGGAGATCATCGTCACGAAATCGGACGAATCTGCTTCCATTAACTCGCGTCTGCTTGCGTAGTACTGCTCGGTGGCGAAGATCCACAATTCAATGTCTTCACCGTATTTGCCCTCATACATCGGCGGGTCCTTCTTCTTCTGATCGCCCCGCGCCGCCATTAGATACTCGAATCTTGCGTTAGCTTGCTTCATTTGCGCTTGCAGTTGAGCATGCATCTGGGCTTGGGCGGCTTGCTGCTGTTGCGTTATATACACGAACAGCTGCTGCATTGACATCGCATCAGGGTCTGAAGCTTGGGTAGCCTGTGCAGCTGTGGCCGCAGTGTCTGCAGTAGCTTCTGTACTAGGTCGTGACGCATCGGCATTACTCGGCGCATTCATTCTGCTTTGTTGCCGAGGACGAGGGTTCGGGGACAGGCTCTCAGCGGTACGGCTTCTTCTTTGAGCCATAACTGCTGGACATCTCAGCGCGTTTTTATAAGGCCTACTGAAATCCCAATAAAGATGAAAAGAAAAGAAACTACTGCTTTTGTTTCTTAAGTCTACGCTTCTTGTCGAGCTGGATGGAGTGGTCGAAAGTTCCTTCCAAAATAGTCTGCCTCTGGCTTATTCGCCGTGTCAAAAGCTCCGTCGTACCGTTCCTGGCGTCGGAGTCCTTGCAATCTGAAATTTTGTTCCGGATGAGTTGAACGATGTTGAGCTGCTTCTGCCTGGTCATCCACAATTCCTGGCGTAGTTTGTCGAGCGCTTCATTGCGGGTTCTCTTGAACTTGAACCGAAGCTCGACACGTCAAGTACTACTATGTGACGATCCTAGGCCAGCCAAACGGAGGAAGTAGTCTTTGGCGGCCTTGGCCAAGATAGTCGAGGTCTTGCTGGAAGTTTGAGTTGGGCAGAAGAGGCAAACTGAGAAGTTATTGATTGAGTTGGTTTTGCTGGCGTTAGCTGGTAGTTGTCTCGCAACCAACGATCGTGGGTGACTAGACATGCACTCAAGTATTCAACTCCTATCCTAAAAACTATCTTTCTCAAATTCTGCTGTTATCTTTCTCTGCCAGTGATCTCCTGCGAAGCCTCGGCGTGGCTGAGCCAGAATTTCTCCGTAGCGTCCCATATTCACCATATTCGGATGGTAAATGGAATGTTGCCAATCCTAAGAATTTATATCCAATGAAAAGAAGTATAAGAACTGTTGAAGTGGCAACTGCAACCACATATAGCCAATAGACTTGTAGACATATGAATTATGAAAATTCAGAATTACACTGAGCCAGAATAAACTGGCCAGCTGATCTTAAAATTTGGCGTAGTGGCTGTATTGACCACTACGTCACACATAATCAATGTTGTACGTACCGCATTTGTAATTATCATAAGGGCTAGCCATTCCCATATGTGTATTTACACTGCAAGAGCTGAACAAACAAAAACAATAACTACAGAACACACCATAAAATACTTTACAATATGTAATAGGCTTTTATCCATTTCATGATGGTGGAATTGCTGCCAACTTTTAAATATACATTTACAAAATACTGTTCAGCATGTCCCTGCATGCACGTGCGACGTCACTCATAAATGTCGCAAAAGCAATGCAGAAGTCAGTACAGAGTGAGTCTCTTTTTTAATAACTATCTGTAACGTATTAGCTGAAAGTACTTTTTTTTGAGACTTTAAGGTACTACGGATGCACAAAATCATTCAAGAATTTAGTAAGCCCGACTCAATGTATCTTTCGGCTGATTCAGAAATTGCGACGTGATCCATGACAACTTATATCCAGTAAAAATTATTTTTTCACTATTCATTTGCCAAATACCCCAAAAGTCGTTTCCTTAAACGTTTTAGCGCAAGCAAGTAATTGGAAGTCGGTCTATTGTCGCTCGGACTTGAAGCAAAGCTCAGAATACCCGAGACAAGTACTAATGAGGGCGATGGAGACTTCATAGAGAAACAATATGTGAGACATGTGGACTGCTGGCTTCACGCTATGCATTACATCAGTCTTTATTGCTAAGTGTGTAAATTTAGACTTAGTTTTCGTTGGACGGAATTCTTGATATATGGTACTCGTAAAATAACATAGCAACACTAAGTATCGGTGGGGTTCTCAGTTCGTTATGCGTACGAACCTATCTTTTGGACGCTTGTTTACTTGGACTCATAAATCATGCCTTCTCCGTGTGAGGTGCATTGCAATTCTGTTGCACTATTGCCTTTGAAACATGTGAACAACTCAGTGGGACTACATCGCGTCCTAACGAAATGTGCAATCAGGTGTATGATATGAGAATGTCATTAGTTGCGGGCGCGATTTTTCCTGGCTTGGCTTTAATTAAAGATTTGACCTTGATCGCGAAACTTTTTGCGCCAAAATGTTGTGTGCTGCATAAAAAGATAATACGGATTGCGTTAGTTTCTGAAATATGAATGTTTATTCCCATTTTCGATCGAAAAATTACGTTTAGATTTTATCCGATCTATCTGTCCATTTAATGTTTGCGCTCTCCTGTATTTCTATGTGTGATGCGAGCTCGAAAATTGATTAGTTGCGACCAAACCTATCGACATTCATAAAATATAAGTACACTTTCAAGTAGATTTTCGGCACAAACAATATGAACCTGATCGGTGTTCAGTGTTATGCACGCCATGCTCTGCTGCGTGCGGTGGCCACTTTAGCAATTAAGGACAAAACTGTAGTATCTAGGCGCTTAATTCGATTGTCATCTACAGCAAACGTGCAATTACAAGACAAGGAAATACTTGACCTGTTGCAGCGTGTGGCGGATGGCAAGGTATCACCACAAAAGGCAGCGAAGCTGTGTGACCTTTCAACTGAGTATGAGGTTGTAGGAGACTTTGCTAAAATCGATACAACAAGGAAAGTTCGTACAGGGTTCCCTGAGGTGGTGTATGCTGAGGGTAAGACTCCAGCGCAGGTAGCTGCTATTATGAGTGTCATGATTGAAAGAGGGGAGGACAATGTGATGGCTTCACGCGTCACGTCGCAAGCTGCTGACGCAATTTGTTCATTGATGTCGGTACGCTAGAGCACACTTCCTAATTTTTTATTAACATACTGATATTTTTTTTGGCAGCGTCAACATCTGACTTACTACGAAGTGCCTCGAATCTTGGCGTCCAAAAAGCTTGACAAAGCAACAACGATTATAGACGATAAAAAGGTACAGGATTGATTTGCTCGATGTTTTGGTAATGACGTCTGTAATGTTGATTTGTAAAACGCGACCTAGATTGTCTCGATGGCTTGTGTGCTTTGTGCTGGTACGTCGGATCTTCCTGTAGCTGAAGAAGCCGCTATCTCTCTTGGTAAGAAAATTTGTGTCTACATTTTAGTTAGTAACATAACGACAGATTGTTCCTTTTTGTATTCGATAGAGCTAGCTGATCACCGAGTCACACGATTGTACGATGTGGGTGTGGCTGGTATCCATCGCTTGTTGCGAAATCAGCATATTTTGCAAGCTGCCGATGTCGCAATATGCGTTGCTGGCATGGACGGTGCTCTGCCTGGCGTCGTGGTATATCTCTATACTGTGTGAATAATCAAAACTTATATTAACATGTTGTGTAATTTGTTGTACGTCCATTTCTAGGGAGGACTTACGTCTGCTCCAGTGATCGCGGTCCCTACAAGCGTAGGCTACGGTGCAGCATTTGGTGGCCTGGCTCCATTACTAACGATGCTGAACGCGTGCTCTCCAGGCGTTGGTGTTGTCAATATTGACAATGGATTTGGTGCTGCTGTCCTTGCAGGTAAGCACAATTTTACAATATTCGCGTCAGGGCGTTGATTTAATTAATGTTGCATTCCTGTAGCTCGCATTCTTCAGAACCTTACTAAATCTTAATGCAAAATTCTCGGTTTTTTTACCAATCATTATCGTTCATGCTTTAGCACCAGCCAGGCAACTTGAAAGAAGCATAGATAAGTGGTAATTCCTTGCAGCCGCTAGCAATGGTCACTGGAAATGTGCGACTATTCTCGCGTCTAAAATCATGGTCAGCGTTATCAGTTAGTGAAGACATTCAAGTGCGACGGTCAAATAATCGACGAAAGCGACGTAAGCGCAATTACAATGCAAGAAGGCTTAGACACGACGAAAATAAATATTACATTGCAGAGGAACGACAAGAGGTGGAGCACGATGAAGTCATTAGTCTTTCAGCTGCAGAGCTTGAAAACTGGCAACAGAAAGTGATTAACCACGTTGAAGATCATTTCACAAGTAGGTTCGTGCACAGTAGTATTGTTTCGAACTGGGCGCTGATTAGTCATATACATTACCAAATTCAGATGAACAACTTAAACGGATCGCCGAGTTTGGTCGCGTGCATGGGACTGTGGTACAGGAGGCAAAGCAGTATGTGAGTAACTTGGAGATGCAATTGCGGCATCAATTTGAGTTAGAACGGGCATCATTGCGTGCTGAAGCAGAAGATTATGTGAAAAAGACGGCTGAAGAGAACAAATTATTGTTACAGCAATTGCAGCACTTAAAGCAACAGGCTGAAAAGCTACAGAAGCAGGTCGACAGGCTGGAGCAAGAGGTCGAAGAACTCAAAACGGAAAAAGCTCAGAGTAGCCAATTATGTCGAAACAATCGGCAAGGACATTTTGGGAACGATCAGCTGTATCATTTTTCACCTGACATTGAATTTCAAGAACAGTTACCGGATAGTGAGACCAAATACGCAGAAAGACAGGATCATGAACCAAATGGTGGTGCAGGGAACTCACAATCACATCGAGAATCCGAGCAGTCAGCAAGCGAACGCTTTAATATTCGCATTGTTGAAAATGCAAGCAAAAGCGTTTCATGATGGACGCCTAAAACACAGACATAGCTAACAGTTAGAGCCACCTACTTAATATTTAATTTTACGATTCAATACATGGTTTTGTGAACTTTATATTTCTACCACATACACTGAGCCAATGTACTGCGTGAAGAACCGACTAGAAAGCTTAGCTTCGGCTCTTTGCACATTCTTTACCCACACCGACAGTCACTGGAATGTGCCAGCAGTGACCCTTTTGATAACCACCTTTGACAATCTCGTCTTTGTTAATGCTAAAAGTCCACGAGTTATCAAAAGTCACAAATTCCGTCTTTAGCCAGTCTTCCGAAAAGTGCAGCATAAAAAAACCATAAGGATTTCCAGCTGCGATCCACGCGTGTTTCACGTACTTTTTTGCTACCATCGGGGGCATGCCTGACGTCTCAGACTGTATTCCACCTCCTCCCCCATTTTCATAGAAGTGAGTGCCCCAATTACTAATGTCATGGTTGAAGCCATGCGTATGACCGTTTAACCAGACGTGAGCTCCACCTTCCTTAGTTATCAAAAACCACTCTTTCATCTTATCTTCGCTCATATGAAAGTGCGGAGAGTAGTGTGAATTAATCACTTTCCACGTAGCCGTTGACGCCATTAAATCCCTCTTGACTTGTTTGAGCGAGTCGTCCCACCAACTTTTAATGGTGTCAGCACAAGCATTGTACATTTCAATGTTGCCACCAGCGCATAATTCGTCACCAGGTATCCGGTCATTACACGTGCTGCCGAGCTTTTTCGCCTCAGCAGCGCTCAGATCTTTCTTCTTGACATAGCCATAGCATTGACAGCATATCTGCATCACTCCGTGCGAATCGGCAAAGTTCGTGTCGATATTGAAAATATCGACTGACACCCCATTTGCTTTGACGCTTTCGACATAATAGTGGTCGGAGAGTTTCCAACGATCACTGTTAGCACTCTTGTACTTTTGCTGCAGTGTAAATTTAAGATTTAAGTACTTAAGCAACTCTTCTGTACTCTTGCACTCGCGAAAATTGTAATCTTTGTCGCCACAAATGTACTCGGAGCCACCAAGATCATGGTTGCCCACGACGTTAATCCACGGAATACCCTTAAGCTCTGGTTGATCGTACACGCTCTCAAACGTTGTTTCCATGCGGTATTCAATATCTCCTGGACCAGCGCCATTCCAGTAAATGTTGTCACCGTGACCGATAATACGTAACGGTTTAATATCGCTGGCGGCCTGTGCCATGAGTTCTGCAATGTTTATCTGGGACCAGTAATCAATCTTCATCTCAAGCGAGTCGTTAGCCACTTTACGATACTTATTGCAGCACGAGCCGGGCTTGTCCGTCGTGGCACCCCAGTCCCCAATAGCAATCATTGTCAAAGCGACTTTGGCTTCTTCCGGATCACTTTCAGGCTCGTAAAAAGTCGAGCCACTGCTATTGGAGGTCGAGTTTGTGAGCAAATCTGACTCGGACACATCTGGAGTTCTGTCCCGTACCGTATTCGTCAGACTTTTTCCAGAAGTTCGGGTATTAGCATTCTCATTGTCGCCACCGCTGGTAAAGTTGATAATGATACCAACAACTACGCCGATGACCACGAGGACACCGACCGCAATCAAAGCTTTACGAGCAACGACCATCGTATTTTGAATATGCAGTAGTAGAAGACGAAAAAATACTCAACTGGATAATTCTTAGTTTCAAAGCCTTCGTGGTGCCAAAATTGAATATGGATCGAAACGCTGGCAACCGGTTCACCTTGGTATTTGATGTATGCGGCTGTCCTTCACGTCCATTTCTTCGAGAAAGATATTTCACAACGTGTACGCTCGCGACGCATGAACTTCACCTCGGCACTCTATATCGATCTGACTATTGATATGACAAAAATTATGGGTGCTATATTTTGAAACGGACGTAAGTGGGAAAAAAGGAAACTAGAAGTCGAAATCAGAATATACAGTTGCCATTTTCTCTCCTGAACTGTCGCCCGCCTGTCGCTATGCGAATGGCAAAACACTTCTCTGTATTTTGTTGGAATTCATAGTCGCGACATCCTTATTATACCCTCTTTTTGTGACACCATGTTGTTCAGCTGAATCGTTTCTATCGGGGATGGCCTGATCAGTCGTAGAACAATGAAAACTCAAGCACATGAAACTATAAGGATAGGGTAGATCACCATTAAGCTTTAAACACTGTACTGCAAAATATTGACAAATGTAGTGGTTGAATGGTTGGTTATGTGGTTGTCACAACGGTAGTGCTTGGACAAATAAGAGATTCATGGCGTAAAAGGCAACTTAAGAAATCAAGCGTCAACCCAAATTCCGTGCAATATACAAATCTACAAGTCTAGAGTTCATTTCATAAATTTATCAATCACATCACTGATATGTAAGACTGAGCGCAAACGACAGCACTCGAATGACGTCGACGACACCCATTAAATACAGGTGATTGTTATAATAAGCTCAAACAAATTTGAATATTTGTCATCGACAATTTGGAAAAAGGAGTGGACAAAAAATCATTATCGCCTATACCATGATTTGTCCTGCGATATTTTTCAATACTAATAAACTGACCCGCCATACATGGTAGGAGGAGATGATTTGTCGGTAACTATGCTCTCGCTTGAAGACGAGGACACGCACATAGACGATAAAGAGAATAGTGTTCGTGAAAGCGTCATATCAGGCGGTGCGGCACATTTTATGACAGCTATTGGAGATATAGGGGACAAGTCACCGCTGGTGTATCTTATGGATTGGTTACACGCTTGGCAACAGGAGTATGAGGCTTTTGTGCACATTTTAGGTGTTCAGGAGGATTCTACAAATGAACAGGAAGCTATAGAAGCTGCAAAAGATTTGAAAGAAATGGAGGCTGAGGCTGAGCCACTTATAGAGGGATTTAGCAAGGTAGCAACGGCGCTGCTGAAGCGTCTCAACATTACACACCCAGACAGTTTGGTAGACCGTCATGGCTGGACACTGCTGATGCAGTCAGCCAACTCAGGACTGTATAAGCTGACGAAAGAATTAATAGCTCTTAAGGCTGATGTAAATAACGGTGGTACTTCCAAGGACGCTGCGAACCCGCTCTATTTGGCGCTGGCATCAGACCACATCGATGTGGCATTGCTACTACTTCAAAACGGTGCAATCAAGTCAGCCACTAAACTAGTCACAGTACCTTCATTGGACACAGAGCATTCTAATGACGTTGAAGACCATGACTGTGCGTTATTTCAAGCCTGTCGCTTTGGCCATCTGGATGTGATCAAGGAAATGCTTGCCCTTGGTGCGGATTTGACCTCTGCACTTCCCTTAACAGGCGACCGCGCTCTTCATATAGCTGTGATGTTTGAAATGCAAGACGTAGTGAAGCTTTTGGTTGAAAGTGACAACATTGATCTGAACGCTTTGAATAAGAGCGGCCAAACATGTATTTTTGGCTGCTCCAGTGTTGATATTGTCAAGTTGCTAGTGGCTACGGGCGTAGATCCCAATATTACGGATAACGATGATGAAACAGCACTTTCGATTGCACAAGCGCTCGGGGACGAAGACGTGGCAAGATACTTAAGAACGGTTACTCAGTAATTTTGTACCATTTCTTATTCAAGCGTCGAGAAAAAATAAATTAGAGTCTACTCGTCCCAAATCTCGACAAGGCTACCTTGGACAACTCAAGAGTGAGAATTTTTGTTACGATGGTTATTAACACTAACGCACTTTACGCCCATCACGATGGTCGTTGCCCTTTGTAAAAACGTCCATGTAGCTTAAAACCACTGCGTGCACTGCTGCCATTTTCGTGCTTTTTGACCCCGGTATTTAATGTTGCTGCGAAGTTTATTGGCAGCTGGATGTACCATTGGCGAGCTCTTACCACCACGATAAGAGAGGTGATAACTTTCTGTATAGATAGATTTGTTTAAAGGTTCATTTTGAAGTATGAGAGCAGTCACGGCCAGTTTCAGTGTCGTGTAGTTGCTTGTGGGTCCAGTAGTCTTGTAAGACTTGCAGCCTCACACCCAATTGTCGACTTTCGTTAGCAAGGCTTCGTACTTTCCGCCTTATCTCCGTAACTATCGAATCATCGGATATTTGAGCACTCGCGGCTTTCAGAGCAGCCGCTTGCTCAATCTGCGCTAGCTGCAGGCTCTTTAACTCCAATGTAGCTCGATTTACCCTATCCTATTTTTGATAGCAGTCAGAAACGTTTTCATGTTACAAGTCGATCTGATCCACGCACCTGAACTGTCATCACTTCATCGAGAGACTTATTTAATCTTGCCGTTGTTTCTTGGTGTAGCTGTCGCGCTCGCGAGAAGCGTTTATTCAGGTTCGATTCGAGCATTTCTAGAAATTTTGTCTGCTCGTGTTGGATCTAGCGAGTGATGCACTTTTGACTATCATGCTGTCGAGAAAATCAATTGTCAAAAGACGTACCGCTTGAATCTGTGCATTCCCAGACAACACACCAGCTTTAGTCAATGCTATTAACCTAATTTGCGGCTGGACTTGTTCTGATTGTACACGCCAAGAACAATCAATAAAATGTCGATGTAGTTTCTCGTTGAGAACCGCCCGTAACTTTGGGAGCATACGTCGTTGCTCAAACTTCCACGCAACCGGGTCTACATCAGTGTAAATCATGGCATATTTATCGTTCCTACTGAGTTCGAAATGTTGAAGCTCTTCGTTAACCACCACCCAGTTTGGAAAATTATCGTCATTCTCTTCAAATATAGAAGCCGTTGACTCGCCAACCCTGTCACCACTTTCGCTATGTGATCCACCATCGTCCATTATGTCCGAATCATTGCATGACTCCACTATCTCAATCGGTTCAATTGGATATTTTGGTGGTGATGTGCAGCAAAACTTGCCAACTATAACAGCTACTGCAAGTTCATCTAGAAGCTCACACACTTCAATCCCCACCCCCCTGGCCAGGGTAGGTGCATCAAAGTGGGCTGCGGCCTGTACTCCAGCTTTTACAGCAGCCAGAAGAATTTTCTGGGTGATCACAATTGGTGATTCATCGCTTTTAAATACCTTTATTTCTAAAAGAGAAAGGAGCCAACAAGAGAGTACACACATATCTTCAAAGCGATCCTGGGATGATACATTGGGGGGCTTTTGACTATCGTAGGCGAAATGTGTAGGAGAAATTGACTTTTTGAGAATAATCTCATACTTCAAAATTTTCAGCTTTTCAAATAAAAGCTCCATTCGCGCCTCAGCCTGTCGCCTTCTGATGAAATCGTAGCTATTATTCATTTGTGAGAATGGGGGTATTGGTTGATGCGAGGTGTCGAGTTGTTGGTCAGAAGATGAGGATCGTGACTGAGTTTTACTTGCAGGCGTAAACTTGGTTTTGGTGCCTTCAAATCTAGTTGATCGCGTTAATAAAGCTTTGCTCCGATGATCGTTATTTGTATACGAAACAGTCTGCTGCTTTTGTCCTTGCAATGCAGCACTAGATGGTCTCCCTCGACATAGATCCCAAACTTCCTGCACACTGGGTCGGTCGATCGCTGCGAGTGAAATCATCTGTTTAACCAAATCGCGTAGATGTCGACTATAAATTGTCGGAATTTCCTCATAGTAGCCTTTACTAATCTTTTGGAACAGACCAACGAGGTCTAAACCTTCTGCTTTAAATGGTGATCTCAGCATCGCGAGTTCATACAATATACACCCCATGGACCAAACATCACTTTTCCAGTCGTAATTTTCACCTCGTAGCACCTCTGGCGACATATACAGTGGTGTCCCTACCTTCGATCGAGCCTCGAATGTGTTTTCGCTTAAAAATCGACCCAACCCAAAGTCACCAACTTTCACAACTCCTTTAAGCGTCAAAAAAATATTTGCTGGTTTCAGGTCGCGGTGCATGATTCGGTTCTGATGCAAGTACAACATCGCACCGCAGAGCTGTGTAAAGTACCTCCAAATCATACGCTCATCAAAACGCATGCCTTTTTCATTAGCTTTTCGAATCTGCCGCTTAAGATCCCCCGCTTCTGCCCACTCAAATGCAATACACAGCTCGTTATTCTGCACGAATGCATCGAGATACTGTATAATGTTCGGATGACGTATTGACTGAACTAAACGCACCTACTACAACCACAATCCCAATAAAAATTGACAGCGTATGAATAACCAAGACAAAATAGATCAATTGCTTTGTTGCAAAATGCACCTCTTTAAGTGTTTTTTCACGCGCTTTGAGATTCATCATGTCAAAAATGGCAATTTTTTTAAGTGCCACCGGTTGATCATCCGACCGCCGAATGGCTTTATATACCACAGAAAACTTTCCTTTACCAATTGGCTTCAAAACATCATAATCATTTAGTTGACCACCGTCGGCAAAAAGTAAGCGCTGGTCTTCGGTCAGCGACTCCATTTTATATAAGAGGTCAAGAGTCAGCACCTATAGCACCTTTTGAATGCAGTTAATTTTAACCAATTGTAAATGAGATGAGAATCGACTTTCTACCAATTCAAACCATAACAAAATTTAGGCGTAAGGTATTTTGTTTTGGCGACGTACCATTGTGTAAAAGAACCACAAGTCTGTTCTCGCTACCTTATACTCACAACGGATACACCGAGTGAAGATACCAACAAGACTTGCCATCGACTTCATTTTGTGCACTAAAGTGATCTGTGACTTTGAATTTCGCCAACCTTTGACAATTTCTGGACTCGATCGACGACTTAGATTGTCGACATCATTTATCGTCGAATTTAGTGCCCCCAGCTCTTAAATTAGGTGAGATTGTCATCAATCACCATATTTGTAAAGCTCACACATTTAAAATAATATTGATGGAAAAGACAATTAGCTACCCAGCTAGATCGTCTTCAAGGTGAAGTTTGAGAATAATGCCTCGAGCTCGCAAGAAATTTCGCTCATCAATGAAAAATGACGATATCTATGTGCCGTCCGCGTCTGCTCGTCGTCCATCAATGTGCGAAATAATTCATTTTGAACGAACGTCCTAAAATTTGAATGTATAACCTCTTAACGATCCGAAATACTGTTCATTGCACTGCAGTAATGTGAAGCCACGGAATCAACGTGAACGTCGTGCTACAACGGCATTCTCACCGAAAGTTGATACAGTAGTGCGGAAACCGCGGAAATCTAAAGATTTGAGTCTAAGTATCGACGACAATCGAAATTCTACTGCGGGTATTACTCCAACTCGACCGGAACACAAGCGTCTAGAGAACAAAATAAAGTCACAGGTAAATTGGGTTGGATCGGTTACGCAATTTCCTTACACCTTTGATTATAATATTACCTGTCGATCTATACATGACATTTCAGGCACATCGACTGCGGTATCCGCTTGCGTTCGTCGAAGCCTACGAAGCTGATGGATGGAATAAGTCATGCCGAGATAAGCTGAAACCGTGCAAAGAGCTTGAAGTGGAGCATTGCAAGATTGTAAAAGGGAAACGAGCTCTGATTGAAGGTCTGCGTGAATTGTTGGCATTGTATGCACAGGAACCGCAAGTGCCACCTATGGCTATGTTCGAAGATGTACACTGCTCTCGATGCGGAAGCACGGACATTGCCTTAGATAATGATATTTTGCTCTGTGATAGTCCTGGATGTCATCGTGCGTACCATCAACGGTGTCAGACACCAGTGATTCTGACAAGTAAGATTCCAGCAGGCAATGACCCTTGGTTCTGTGAAGTCTGCCTTGCCATTTTTGAGTGTCTGAAGTCGATCAACTCAGTGTTTGGAACGACATACGAAAACGTTGATGACCTTTTTCCAGAGCTTTGTCAGGTCAAGCCACAACTTCTAATGAATGATAATAATTCTGCGCAGTCAGAAGACGAAAGCACTGCTGTTCCTGCTAAAGTGGAAAGCGATGAAGAAGATGATGAAGACTTTGTTTGCGGCGAAAGCGGAGAGGAAGATGAAGATGAAGATGAAGACGAAGACATGGATGAAGACGCGGAAAATGATAAAAGTACAGAAGGAATTCTTCGTGGTGAAGACGATATGGTCGAAGAGGTACCCGAAAGCGCTCAAGACTTACTCTTTCTTAGTAAAGACGACGTGATTGACCTGAATCAGTAAGTAAAATGTACTGACCTGCTATTGCTGCTGGTAGCTCACGTTGCGTTGCTTGCTCACAGTCGATCGATGCGGTCTCACGGAAAAATTACGCTGCTAAAGCCTGCTCGCAAAAAGGTGAATCTCGTAGGCAAGTCTGCAGCCAAGATTAATCGTAAGACAGGTGATGTAATCTTTGGAGAAGTTGTAGCGCTTGCACCGCCGGCTGTAGGGCGGTATTCACGGTGGCGCATTGATTATCGCGATGGTACTTCCGAACTACTGACACGCAGCAAGGCTCAGGCTGCAATCAAATGCGCATGTGTAAAAAATAATGGCGATCGAGATGAAGACGAAGAAGTCATTGTTGTCCGCAGCAAGCGCAAACGCAACGAAGTCGATTATCGCCAACTTAACGAGCTGATGTTCGCGGGAAAGGATGAAGATAGTGAAGATGATGAGACGTTTGAGGTTAAAGATGAAAGCGAAGAGGAACCTGATGAGGAGGAAGACAATGATGCGAACGCCGTCGAAGAATTGAAAGAGAAGGAGAGAAACAAGAGTATTCAGTGTGGACAGGGCGATTTATCACCAACTACTGTGACTGCATCGCATGACGCAATTCCTCAACTGACACATGAAACTCGTAGCCAACGTCCACGTAAACGGATTGACTATCACTCCATGCATGAAGGTCTGCTCTCTTAGCGTAAATAGCGCCTGCTCGAGTTTTAACACGTAATAGATTGTAAAAAAGTGGGATGTTCCGATGCTTTAATACATGGGAAACTCCGGATCTACTCCTCCTTCCTTTGCATATTCAGTGTATCCCCCCTCAATATTAAACACATTCAATATGCCATGATTTACAAGCCATTGGGTCACCTTTACAGAGTCAACACCGCGTCGACAGATCACAAAAGTACGATACATTAAATTCGAAGATTGCTTTGTAATAGCACTTAGTGGCACACCATGCAAGCTTGCGATGATTCCGATGGGGTCTGTATTGATCAGCTGAGAAGCTGGTATATTAACTGCCTCTGGAAAGTGCACCATCTTGAATTGGACGGAAGCACGCGTGTCCAAAAGAGCATATTCTGCGCTTTTGACTTTTTTCGTTCCTCCGTCACTAGCTCCATAAGCATCCTTTCGAATTTTCGCAAACTCTTTGACACTTATTTGAAACTTTGGGTCAAGATCAGCATCTCTTGAGCTTTTATTCATACAATTGTTTTCAAAAGGTAGTGATAAAGGGACCACCCATTCATCCTTTCTACCTTCAGTGACACTTCTTCCACACGACAGACAATCCGGATTTCGTTGCTTTCCGATCTTCAGGTGTCGAAACAGGCCGTTGTATGCATCGTAAAAGCACTGCACGCCGTCAAGAGGTATCCCGACACCCGTGAGAATCTTTACGGTCTCCATTGCTTGTATACATCCAATGATACCAGGTACTACACCGATCACGCCATTTTCAGCGCAGCTCATTGAAATTTGAGGCGGCGTTGGGTACAAGCAACGATAGCAACCGGTCGCATTCGCATCATTTTTGTATGTAAACACCGTCACTTGTCCTTCCAGTCCTAAAGCACTACCAGACACCAATGGTATGTGCTGTCGAGCACATGCATCATTCGCGAGATAGCGAGTCCGGACATTGTCGGAAGCGTCGACGACCACATCGTAATCACCGACAAGTTTCAGTGCATTATACGCAGTAAATCTCACGGCGTACGCCACACATTGCACTAATGGATTTACTTTCTGCAGCCTTCTCTTTGCTGACTCTACTTTCTTTTTCAGCTCCTTTGCATCTTGATTATCGTACAAAATTTGCCGATGCAAATTACTCTGGTCCACGTGATCATCATCCACAACAGCCAACGTTCCAACACCCATAGCAGCCAAGTAAAGGGCTACTGGCGACCCAAGTCCACCGACGCCAATGAGGAGGATCTTGGCAGCACGTAACTTGAGTTGTGCCTTGACTCCAAATTCTTTGACAAGCATCTGTCTTCCATATCGTTTTAGCTCCAGCCTAGAGAATGGCGAGTATATCGAACTATGCGCTATTATCTCTTCGTTGGTGACCACTTGATCTTTGACAGTCGGTAAATGCGATCGACCGCACAAATCATATTCAGCTCGAAGCTGGTCAATTTTCGTCTGGAGATTATCCAATTCAATCTCCAGATTTAAGCATCTCGGGCACGTAGTAGCAGCCATCGACTGAAATACCGTAAGTTTAACAGACGGATTCGATATTTGGAGTACAATTAGAGTGAGACTAAAAAAACAAGCTTCCTTTGAGGCTTTGGCGAGCATAGGACGCGGCTCATATTTCAGATAATTAAAATATTACGCAAGCGTAAGAAGTACAATTGAGCTTATTCTAGTGTTTATATATGTGGTCTGATCAATTGCTTGCATATAAGAGCATTTTTGACAACATCGCACGTGATCAAAGACACGAGTGTGACTCTTCGCCTGCGTCTGATGAACCAGATGTCAATTGGTGTAAGTGCTCTCGTCCTAGAATACGTTTAAGGCGGTTAAGCGAGAACTTGCCAGATTCCAAGAAGTCTGTCAATACTGTGTACAATAGAGTTTCTTCGCTTACCTCCGAATTCCTCAAAAAGGCACCCAGAATCCTGCGATATTATTTTAACACCGAAAGTTTAGAGATCATCTTCTAAACAGATAATTGCAAGAGTCTACAAAGCAACAAGGAATTCTGACCTGAAAGGGAAATCATCAAATGATGGTGTGCCAGTAAGACTTGTAGTGTTGCATAATTGCAGGACGGTAAAATCCTGAACTCACTGCCGTATTATCCAAATTAATACTCTGTGGGCTGGGTCTATGGCAGTTTCTGTAACGGGGTATACATACCCTGGTAACAGGTGTGTGTCACACCAGATGGGCATGGTGTGACCACACCTTCGGGGCTGGATAGCCAAAGTTATACATGTATTAAAATTTTACTATTGTAGTTAACGAAAAGATTAATTGAGGCATTTTCAAATAGCGATTGAGTTAACATTAAAAGTGACCAATTCTCACAAGAAATTGTGATTATTTTGTGAACTTTTGCTGCACCATTTTCAAAATTCAAACAAGTGAAAAAAGCTTTATTCCAGGTCCAAAGATCGCTGATTGTCGATGAGTGATTGATATACACCGTTCTCCTCGTGTATCACCAAGTATTCAGCCAATGCAGACTGATTTGCGCAACGAAAATCTTGTCCGTAGGTTGCAAATGCATCTGCAACCTCTGAGCGAGTCGACATGCGGGCATTGACATCTTCAATCGATTATTCGAGCCAAGAAATGACGTCCTTTCGATCGACCTTGTATTTGCCTCGTGGGCCAGGATCAGAGGCAATCTTCCACGAGACGTACCGCGTCTTGAAGGCCTGTTTGATCGGTTTGTTGGTAATCAGATCGCATACTTGAATCAGACTAGTACACCCTGGAGGAATACCTCCTAAAGTGATGTTTAGGTCAGCAGCTTTCTCTTTGACAAGATCTGAGAAATGGCTAGAAGCCGCGTCCCAAATCAAACCAACCTTCTCGCCTGGATAGCACGACGCCAAATATTCCAAGTAAGTGCAGCACCCGTCTTTGTCCATCCAATGTTTTGGATGGAACATGACTTTGCTAGGTCCATCCCAAGAATAGAATCGTCTTGAAAGCGTCCGTCAGGCTGGCCAGTCATGATAATCATAGGGACAAGGATCTGAGATTGGAACATCTCGCATGCTACCATCACAGTGCACTCTTTCTTGGCATCCTCGGCTCGGTTGCAGCCGACTCGTCGTACATTCGCTGGAGCAATCAAGCGGGTTTCTTTCGGGTAGAACTGAAGAAACATTTCGTCGGCATTGACCAAACGGGTCA